ACATAGCCAAAAGTATTGGTATTCCCCCAACTGTGCCAGATCATAAAAGGATCATTTTATAGCACCTTGAAAACAATATGGTAATTGCCAAAAGTTGCATACATTTCTCAAGGCCAATTTTTGCCAGACTAACTTTATCTCATATTTTTTATTAGTTTCTGTAATAAATTGTGGAAATATTGTAGAGTTAATGTATCTTGATTGCAGCAAAACATTTGATAAAGTACTCCATGACATTCTGATTAGCAAGCTCGTTAAGTATGAGCTGGAGGGTATGATAATTAAATGGATACACAGTTGGCTCAAAAAAAATTGTACTTAAAAATTTCTCATCAAACTGGATGAAGTATTGAGTGGGTATCATAAGATTCAGTCTCTAGTCTTGTACATTTCCAAATTTTTTATTAATGTCTTAGATGAAGAAGGGGGAATGCTTATCAGATTTGCATATGACACAAAATTGGATGGGATAAAAATATTCTAGAAGGCAGAATCTTGATCTTCAAGAAATGAATAAAGGAAAAACTTAATGGAAACCAATGGAAACTTAAAGGGAAACCAATGGAAACTAAATGGACAATTATTTCTTTAGAAAAAGGAAACCAAATGCATAGGTATAGGATGGGGAATAGTGCTTTAATAATAGTAGAATAGAATAATAGAGTTGGAAGAGACCTTGGACTCGGAGGTATTCTAGTCCAATCCCCTACTTAGGCAGGAAACCCTACACCACTTCAGACAAATGGTTATCCAACATCTTCTTAAAAATTTCCAGTGTTGGAGCATTCACAACTTCTGGAGGCAAGTTGTTCCACTGATTAACTGTTCTGTCAGGAAATTTCTCCTTAGTTCTAAGTTGCTTTTCTCTTTGATTAGTTTCCACCCATTGCTTCTTGTCCTACCCTCAGGTGCTTTGGAGAATAGCTTGACTCCCTCTTCTTTGTGGCAACCCCTGAGATATTGGAACACTGCTATCATGACACCCCTAGTCCTTTTTTTCATTAAACTAGACATACCCAGTTCCTGCAACCGTTCTTCATATGTTTTAGCCTCCAATCCCCTAATCATCTTTGTTGCTCTTCTCTGCACTCTTTCTAGAGTCTCCACATCTTTTTTTACATCGTGGCGACCAAAACTGAATGCAGTATTCCAAGTGTGGCCTTACCAAGGCATTATAAAATGGTAGTAACACTTCACGTGATCTTGATTCTATCCCTCTGTTTATGCAGCCCAGAACTGTGTTGGCTTTTTTGGCAGCTGCTGCACACTGCTGGCTCATATCTAAATGATATGAGCCAACATAGTACTTTGTATAATAATATCTTGAAAATTTGTCCAGTAGTGGGCATATTTTAAAATGATTCAGATAAACTGCATCAGATTCAAAGAAGAGCAATGAGGATGATCCACAGATTAGACACCTGTGAAGAAAGATAGGAGGATTTGGGAATGTTTAGCTTCAAGAACAGAAGACTGAGGAGGCATATTCTAGCACTCTTCAAATACTTAAAAAGTATAAAAACAATAGGACTTATTTTCCACCACTCTAGAATACAGGGTACAGAACAATACTGTATATTGATTTTACTGGAAGGCATGATACAATTCTGCATAACAGAGCAGTTTAACAATGGAACCTATTGCCCAGAGAAATGGTGAGTTGGTTTCTTCCACTAGATGTGTTCAAGAAGAAGCAAGGTGGACATCTGAAAAGGTTACTTTAACTGGGATTTCTGCACTGAAGTGATTGGACTGGCCACTTCTAGTTCTATTATTCTGCACAAGTCAAGAACAGGATTCAGATAAGCTATCAGAATGTTTTAATGTTTTCTTCACTGATGTCTAGACTTCTGATTTCTTCACATTTGCACAAAATGATCAATTTATTACTGCGGCCCCCACCTTCCAAGAAACCCACTTCCCATTATACAAATGACAATAACTTTTTGATTAAAAAATGTGTTGATGCAAGTATTTATGTTACGAGCTTTATCACTCTTTGTACCCAAATTCAATGTATATTGCAATTTAAAATAGTTGTATGATATGTCTTTGGTTGTTGAAGACACTCTTTCATTATAATTAATATATAAATTATATAAATATTATTGTAATACAAAGTCATATTTTTAGGCAACTGAAACAACTTGAGCTGTCCAAAACAGAGAACATCTTAAAATTCAGGAAATTTCACCAGGGTTTAAAATGGACTATTTTTCAAATTTAGCATATTTGGGGAATTTCTTTTTAAAAAATCTAGAATACCTTGTAAAAAGCTGAGTAATTTGCACATATCTATTCGTAGTTATACCTTGTTATTTTTATTTATCAATAATTTATATCAATAAAAATATGTTTTACTGCTTATTGAGTTATTAAGCTTCCCAATAACTGTAATTTTGATAGTGAATGAAAAAAATATTATTTGATTAATCACGAATGATGGTAATTAATTATTGTAGATTAATAAAGGTAATTATTTGGTTAATGTTGATGAACAACAGGATTTGGTAAATGTATCACTGAAGTAACTTCAGTGTAAGATTTAAATGGTTGTTATATTAGATACATTCAAAATTTGATATTACATGTTAATATTTAATGTAAGAATTTTTATTTTTTTATACATCATTGGATGTAGGAGATGACCAGGCTGAGCCCGAGGGAAGGATCAAATGTGTCATCAGTTTCAAGTCCCTTCATGCCCACCAGAAATCTAAGTCCAGCCCAGCTTCAATTCCATTGACTCTGATCTATCGCCAATTTGCTTAAACCATTAGTAGTTCAGATTCCTGTAGAGAGCATAAGCTTGCAATAAACCCTTATATTTATTTGAACTGCCTGAGTTTCCTGATTTCCATGCTTGACATTGGAATCTTCACTATCCACAATTCTTAGCATAATGTTGGAAGAATTACCACTCATATTGAAATATTGAAGTGTTTTTCTAGCATTCATAAATGCTACAGCACAAACATACAAATGAAATGACACAAACACACAAACATGATATTAAGTATTCTGTTTTTCTGTTTTTCTTTACTTACAATGTATAAGTATTTTGAAATAAAAATGTTCTTTATCCTGCCACTCAAGATTATAAAATAGTGATGAGAACAAATCAGTTTGGTTTAACTTGTTTCTAATGGAGATTTTTGCAGTATGATGCCAGTCAAAATGGTTTAACTGCTTATTAAAATCTTGGGCTTCAGACGTGCAGCTAGTCAGTGAGATATAGTTAGTTTGAATGATGAAATTAAATAATAAAAGGAAAAAGAATTGGCTCTAAAATACACAGCCGGTATAAAAACCATTAATCATAAGAACATTCATTTGAGGGTAGCACATTAAATTTGTGTGTGCTATAATTTCTTGATTTTTTTTTTCAAATATTAAATGTAGGAAAGTTTTAGGAAATCTTTTGATGCGTGTATATACATATATACATACACAGTATATAAAATTTAGTAGAAAGTCTTTTATAAATATTCTTACCATGCTTCAGATGTAGGCAGCTGTCATTCGTGGGGCGGTACCTGTAGAAGATTGTTGGTTTTTTTAAACAAATTTCACTGAATAATTTTTCTGCATACCCCAAATAAAAGGTCTTATGCTAGAATATGCATTACTGATTGATTTCCTCTGCCTTTTATGGTTCTTATACCAGCCATTTTTATTTTTTTAAAAAGAGAGAACCTCACTGATGCTTTCAGCAGAAAGATTTTAAACCACTATTTTTCTATATTTTTTTTAAAAAATGTACTGTATGTTAATATAAAGTCTCCTTTGAATGCTGCTTGATTCTTCAGTTTTATTGGCAACAATATGGAAGTAGTTTGTCATGGCGTCTTCTCGGAAGAATCTACAACCCTGGGATTTCCTATTATTCTTCTATCCAAATATTTTACAGGTCTGTTTAGCTTTCTGAATTTACTCATTCATAATTTATCCATGAGATTCAGGAGTGGGCTGCTGCTGGTTATAACAATTGGTTTGCCCAGCACTGAAAATGTGAGCACACGTGCGTGCATGTTTGATTCGCTCACGTGAGCCCCTTCCGCGCATGCGCACAGCCTTCTGCACATGCGTGTGGCTTCAAAAACATGGCAATATAGGACAGGATAGCGCCGGGGCAGGTGGGCGGGCGGCGGGCCCACCCGCAGGTCACAATTACCGGTTCACCCAAACCAGTCCAAAACGGCAGCAGCCCACCTCTGGCGAGATTTATTGATTCATTTACATGGCTCATAAACTGATCCAACTGACTCTTCTCCAATGAAGAAATATGTTGATCTAAAACCTCTGCTTAACAGCCCCAAAAAGAGAATATTCTTAACCCTTCTGGAACTCAGTAATGGGTTAATGAAGCTAAAATGCAATTTACAGCACGGCGAAACAAAACAGCTTCTCAAGTAATGTTTCCTGAATCTAAGCAATGGTACCAAAGAATAAAAGGCAGTTGACTTTTTGTCATTGCTTCTTAATTTTTTTGAACTGGTACTGCTTATATAAGTTGATAGTAGTTAGTTTTATAATTTTCAATAATAATTCATACATGGACAGTCTTTCAGTAATTTCTCATGCATGGACAATCTTCGGTAAAGATTATCCATGCACGAGAAATTTGGCAGGACAAGCTGACCTATTAGAGGCTGTTCTCCCCCCTCTTTATTGATATAGATTTGGCAAAGAAGTTATAATAACCTACTGGTGCTGTTACTATTTTCCAATCTTTGAGCCTTTACTGACACCCAAAAGAATGGAAATTAATTTCTTCTCCAATTGCTGAAACAAGCCACAGAGCTTCATTCCAAGCATCCTTTTATAATGAGACTAAAACTCTTAGCTTGGGTACATGAGGGCAATAGAGGTGACATCAAAAAGAATTATTAGAATATATATTGTCTTTTATGGAGAGAAATTGACATCTTGGAGCAATGTGCTCAGTCTTTAAAACACAGCCAATAATATTTAACATGAATATCTACCCATAAATATACCTGATGTTGACTCCTGTAGCTTCTCTCTCTTCCTCTTTTTCTTCTTTCCCTTTAAAAAGTAAGACAAAAATTCTTTAGTTATAATAAGGAAATAAATAACAAGAAAATAGATTGTTCAGAATCGTGCGTGCACAGTGGTTAGAATGTAGTACTGCAGTACTACTCACTCCAGGAGTTTGATTCTGAGCGGCTCAAGGTTGACTCAGTCTTCCATCCTTCTGAGGTCAGTAAAATGAGGACCCAAATTGTTGGGGGCAATATGTTGACCCTCTAAACTGCTTAGAGAGGGCTGTAAAGCATTATGAGCAGCTTATAAGTCTAAGTGCTATTGCTATATAAGCAATCCTAAAATATTCTATGTTGTGTCTCTGTTTCTATAATTCTCAAGGATGAATGTTAAATTTTGCCTATATTTTATTGCAGACAAGCTATTTTTGTTTATATTAACTTCCGCCATTCTTGTCAGATTGACAAGAGGCAGGCGATCATAGAGTTCACAACAATCTCACCAAAAGTTACTTGCAAACCCCTTTTCAGATGCAGTAGACATTCCCTTCAATGGAGGACCAGTGTGACAGAAATTCTAGAAAAAGCTTTTTTAATGATCCAGAAATGTGAGAGAGGAAAAGAACTTGCTTGCTGAGAATTGCAGAACAGTTCCTGTACTATTGTTGTACTATTTATTTAACTTTATGCTACAAGAAATCCTGGATTGCAACATCTGTATCAGCCTCCTGGAGTAAGCATGGGCTTTTCCTCATACATGGCAACCCCAGTAAACTTCACCATAACCTCAAAATTCCTCTGCTAGTTTTGCATAGTAGATCAGGTTTTATTCATCATTCACAACCACTGAAAGCACGGGGGTGGGGAGGAGAGAATTCATTAAAAATTACAATATGGCATTGCACTAAAGAAAATATCCTTCACAAGCTATTTGTGAGACATAGAATTGGAACAATGTGTGTATCATGAACATTTAAGGGGGAGAAAAGTAATCAAACTCAATATATAGTTACTGTTGGCTAACTAGAATCTAATTTGAGAAGCTGCTCAAAGTATTGCTGAGAAGTCTTAAAGGAGTTTACAATCCCCATGCTAAGAATCAAAATATCTACTAATGCTCTTAATTTCCAATAGTTGGATAGCGTGTTATCCTTTTTTTTTCTTTCCATCTTAGCATAATTCATTAAAACCGAATAAGGTTTGCAAAATGGACTGACACATAAACTGCTTTGTTAAATGAATGTAGGTACTAGGCAAAGATGATTCACTGTGCTCTGAAGCTCCTTGGCTCTTTTATGGAATTTGACTAAGGCAGTAAGTCTATTTATCTGGCATTAACTAGGCACATGAGATTAAGGATATATCCCACTATCGATTGAAATCTTAATGAATGTGTGAGAGACTATATTTTCAAAGTCAGAACTATGGCTGGGATTAGGCACTTCTTTGAATTGTTTATTTTAAGAGTCATCAAGGCCCTGTCTTAGCTAACTCTCAGATAAATAAGTCTCTGGCTATCGTTAAGTATGGATTTTTCTTAAGAAACTATTTACAAAGTTAATGGAAGACATACTGTTTAATTGTAATGAAATATTGTTATAATTTGCTGGGCGAAAATCTTATTTTGGGGGTGAGGAGGAGAAGAACTCACAATTTCATAAAATGCTGTTTACTTGGTTTTTTAAAACAATAACAGATATCCCACAGCCAAAAGGATTGCTGCTCAACTCAATGCACTCTACATTTTGTTTGCTTTAGGACAACTATACACACACAAATTTCACATTGCCAAGATAAATTCCAAGATAATTCCAGTAGGACATCATTCAAATGACAATCATTGTCATGTGTATTCATTAACCATAGGATAAGCCTATGTCAAAACAGTGATCAGTTTTATCCCTCCGCCGAGATATGCAAAACAATTATCTAATACTAAATTGCCATTCTGATGTATTTTTCAAATAGGCATAAAGCTGGACCAAAAAAACCCCCAAACAAGCAAGAACATTTGTAATCCATTTGTACATGTAAAAATGGTCCTAAAAAGAGAGAAGAGAAAAATGTATGGAGCTCAAACTGAACAAAATGCCAATGCAATGACCTTTTGTTCCATGTGCACATTCAGATTGCTGTGTCTTCCTTACAACAAGATCCAGACAATATAAATACAAAGCTTACGTAGTTGTCTCTTGCAGACCAGCCAGGATACAGTTGCATGTGTAGCTGCCTTTCTTTCCGGGCGAGTTCGTAATATTTTGCCTGTTCTTCACGCGACAAGGCATGCCACTGCAAGTGAAGTGGGGAAACAAAAGAATAAGCTACAGGTGCAGACATCTCTAGATACGAATTCCAATTTATTCCAGTGCATGGAAAAATACAACTCCAGAATCTGTAGAGATTCTCAGTCATTCAGGTCATGGTTGTCCCAAAGGTGCTTTTTCAGGAGGCAACTGGACTTTCTTGTTTTTCCTTTTGAAGACGTTTCGCTTCTCATCCAAGAAGCTTCTTCATCTCTGACAGGATAGTGGGGAATGGAAGGATTTATATTTCTTGCAGACAGCCGCCAATCTGCATCCTTTTAGAGGATCCTTGAAGACTACAGGAACCAGGAGCACTACTCAGGTGACCCTGAGGGCACAGATAAACCTCCAAGTGCTTCTAGAACTCTCTAAAAGGATGCAGCTTACCAGCTGTCTGCAAGGAATATAAATCCTTCCATTCCCCACTATCTTCTCAGAGCTGAAGAAGCTTCTTGGATGAGAAGCGAAATGTCTGCAAAAGAAAAAACAAGAAAGTCCAGTTGCCTCCTGAAAAAGCACCTTTGGGACAACTCCAGAATACTTGCATGTTACCAATGGCAATATAAGAAACTTGCACAATGTGTACAACTGATGTCAGGCAGATGAGTTTTTGAGTTTTTAAATATGCAATTTTTGACATTTTGTGAGGAAGGACTTTGAGAAAACACGAGAACAGAGGGACAACGTGTATGTTTTCCTGCTTCTCTTGCCTTTTCTATAATCTGATGACTTTTGATCAGGCAGCCAAAATTTTGCAGCACGATTTGCCGATAATCAGCGGGAAAGGTTCTGCAAAAAATTGTCTAGGGTTAATATAATAACTCACCATTTGCATGCGTCTATATTTCTTGACCGGAGAGTGTGAATATGCAGTATGACAGGGACAGCTGGAATGCATGGAGTTAAATATTGAAACAGATCTGACTACATTTGGGGTGGAGGGGCAGCAGATGGTATTGCAACAAGAGAGACAGCTAAGGAATGATAGTCTGAAGCCACAGAAACAAATCCAAAACAAAACTATAAAACCCAGAAGAGCAAAAGCCAGGCAGTGTGTCTGGTGGAAACTTTGAATAAATATGGCTTTCACATGACAATGAATGAAGATGATGATACCCAATTATATATCTCTTCCACTGATAAATTAAGCAATGCCAGGAATATCTTATCTCAGTGCCTGGAGGCTGTAAGGTCTGGAGGGGAAACAACCCCTAACAGGCTTCAGTTGAATCCTGGCAAAATTGAACAGCTTTAGTTTTGGGGGCCTGTTGCTTCAAGGACTATGTCATCTTTGGATAGGGGTCATACTGCTCCAGACTGATATGGTGCACCCTCTGGGGGTCCTTCCGGACTTAGATTCTTGCTTGAAGAGTAGGTAACGTTAACTCATGTCTGGGAAGGCTTTTGCATAACTTCATGTTGTATGTCAGTCGCACCCATTCCTGGATTGGGAAGCTCTGCCCCCAGACACTCATACCTTAAGTCACTTCCAGATTGGACTACTGTAATATGTTCAATATGGAGCTGACCTTGAAGAGGATCTGGAAGTTTCAACTGATGCAGAATGCAGCAACATGGGCAATTCTGTGTTCTCAGAATTTCCACTCTGAGTTGCATTGGCTGCCAGTTTGCTTCCATCTCCAATTCAAGGTGCTGATTTAAAGCCCTTCATAGCATAAAACTGGGTTATCTTAACAACCATCTTTCCCAATTATATCACAGTCCATCCCATGAAACTTGGCAAAAAAGGTAAGTTGTTGCTACCATCTGCTAGGGTGATGGGTCCCAGAAGGTGAGCTTTCTCTGCTGTAGTGCCCACCATATGGAACATTCTTTCCAACTCAGGTTTGTTCCTCTCTTTTAATGTTACAGAAGTCCCTCAAGGACCCCAGAGAACAGAAGACATTTTTAAGATGGCTCCACTAGCATGGTTGAGATATTTACTTTTTTCCATGCCTTGTAGTTTTGTACATTTTAAATGTTTGTACTATTTTATATATTTTATATTGTTTTTATCTCTGGGTTGTTTTGTTTACATGTTCTTTGTCACCCAAAGTCATGAAATGAGCAACTATATAAATCTAAAAAAGTAAATAAAGGCAATTGCAATATTTAGGATCATGGAGATGGTGCCATAGGAATCAACTGGAGAGGAAGACCTTTTTCTAACTGCTTTTCACAGATTAGTCATAGCAATGAAATCTTGAAGAGATGCATTTAAGAATCAGTAATAGTAATCAAAAATTAAAATGTATCCATCTTCTTTTTATAACCATGCAATCCTGAAGCACTCACTGAATGATTTCTGAGCAACAGCTTAGCAACAACAGAATGTTCTTTGGAAGGCTAATCAAAATCTTCCACCTTGAGGTGTTTTTGGTCACATTTCCAATCGTGTGGATATTTCAGCTACAGGCTGTTATTTTCCTAGTTCCCAATGAAAGCCCTTTAAAGAACCACTTCTTATTGTCGAGCTTAGTACTTACATTGTTTAAAAACCAAACCCTGTAGTTTAACATTCCAAAAATACTGAACCTGAGGCAATTTTTTTTAGAACAAGTGAACTGCTCTTCTATTGCACATATACACAACCTTCCCTGAACCACAGCAGCCTTCGCCCTTCAAGCAGCAGCCTGATCCAATCGCTGCAGCTGCCCATCAGCTGTTTCACAGCAGGAAATTAGGGTAGAAGCCTGCAGTTTCCAAGAGCTAGGCAGCAGGAAACATGGGAGGGAGCCAAGAAGAGAAATGAAGTGCCAAAGACACACTGCATTACCAAGGAAGGAGAGCTGTTTAAAAATATTAGTAATGGAAGTTTGGGAGAAATCTTATCTTTTAGACACATAACCAAATCATAATATTCTGAATTATCTGCCATTCAATCACATTTTAGGCCACATAAAACTTGGCTGTTGCAACCCAACATTTTGAGGTTATTGATTTTACTTTATATTTTGCATTTTGTTTTATTGTGGTAAAGCCAGCTTCAATGCTTATAAAGCAGTAAAGCAGGGATACGTGTAACATTATAACATTTAAATTTTAAAAATTAGCCTCAACAGTTATCTACTGTTCTCTAATGGGCAATACAAAACATGTGTACAACTGAATGCGTAGTGTAATCAGTTAGTTTGAAATATATTATTTACAGATGGGGTGAGCTTTCAAGACAGCAGAATTTCAATCCTTTAAAACAAAGCAAAACATCCTGTCCTATTCTTTTCTGAAATAACCCTAGACAGAGGCTTCTCACTAAAGCTTTGGCTAGAATCCCACAATGCTATTTCTCCTTTCACTACAATGCAATTTCAGTTTTTTGCCATCTGCTACTATATACAAACTATGCTTTTAACAGATCGGTGCAAATATTAGAAAAATGATATTTGCACTATTATGCCAATAGCCAAGTCCTACATGAATTGGTAGATGCTCAGAGCCAACTGAACTCAGATACAAATAACTATAAAGACAAGATTTCTCTGGGATAGCCAGGTATTCAAAACGTAGGGTCAGTACACAGGCTATTGATAAGGCCACAATTTATGTAGAAGTAGCCTGAATGAGAAATCTTTAATATGCTTCCTTGTTTAAAATGTTTCACTTTTGATACTTGCTAAAATGTTGGCGTAAAAAACCATAACATGGTAGGCATAAAATGGGGACAATGTATAAAACTAATTTTAATTTTTAAGTCTCCTTCCAGTAGAATTCAATTCCAAATATTTTTCTTGACAATAATGTGGAAATGGCTTTCTTTCTAAATCTGTTCTACCAGGTCATTTTTTTTAAAAAAAATCCAGTATAACTTATTGGAAAAATTTCCTATAGCACTCCAACCAAATATTAACCAAGCTCGATGCTATCTAACTGAGACAAGTCCAGCCACCTGCTGAAAGTATGTGGAATCTTAAGGAGGCAGAGCACATGTTGAAAAAAGAATTGGAAAATATCCTTATGGCATATTACCCACTAAGCAATCAGCACTCTAGACAACCTCAAATCAAAGAATAACATCTAGATTCATAATCCCAAAACCCATCCAGAAAAACCCACTCTCAGTTTATCTTGAGACTTTATAAGTATTAACCTATAAGCAAATACTCTATACCAGAGGTGTCAAACTCGATTTCATTGACAGCCACATCAGGGTTGTGTTTGATCTCATGGGGGTGGGATGGGCATGGCCAGGGTGGGTGTGGTCAGCATGATGTCACTTATGTCGGGGATGCCTTTGGTGGCCCGAGCGCTCTGCCAGCAAAAGTGGGCTCCCGAACTCCGTTTTTCGCTGGGATGGCCTCCTACAACCCTCTGCCAGCAAAAACAGAGCTTGCGGGTACCATGCATGGCCCTTGTGAGCTCATTTTTTGGCTGGGACGGCCTTCTGCAACCTTCTGCCAGTGAAAATGGAGCTCGGGAGGGCCATGTGTGGCCCACACGAGTTCTGTTTTCGCTGGCACAGGCACCGCGGGCCAGTCCTTCACTATTTCCAGGATGGCCCCGTGGGCCAGATCTAAGCACCCCGTGGACCAGATCCAGCCCCCAGGCATTGAGTTTGACATCCCTGCCATATATTATAGAGGATGTAGGAATTATCCTGGGAGACAAAAGATATCTTAAGTAATGAAGAAAATTATCAAAATATAGACAAGAGCTTAAGCTAATTCAGTGTTTGGGGAAAAAAGTAAGAATTTCTAATCATATGACATGTTTAGGTAACATAATAATCAAACACATAACACATGCTTTGATGGGACCAAGCAATAAACATTATAGTATTCATAGCATAGAAGCTCCTAATCACTCTGACGCCAAGATTAATTTTATAAACTAAGGGTTTATGTGCCTGCAAGCACAGATCAAGATCTGAAGGAAGTAAAAAGCGTAAGAGTCACAACTTAAAAAAAAAACATTTCGGCTACTTTTGGTACACATATATTTTTATAAAAATGTGTTGTAATAATATTTTAACATGATTGGGGGGTTGATTAGAACTATTTCCTCTCCCTGCAAAAGCTGTGTAAAGCAGAAAATTAAGTATGTGGTGTTGATGTTGAGAATTGCCTACTGTATCTATACATCACTTCCCACAGGAAAAGGCAACTCAATCTCATTGTGAAATACAGATTTTCTGGCCTCTTTTGAAAATAAGCTATTTAATTTGTTATACAACACAAATCTAGCTATCTGTTCCAACAACTTTACACCGCAGAGGGACTGAGATGCTGTTTGCTATTGACTTTATTTCATGCAACCATCAAACTCTTGCAAGCAAAGAAATCTGGCAAGAGTTCCTTTTCCCATATGACTCCTAGTTGTAGAAGCGAGAACAAAGAGTATGGGGACTGAGAGAAATTAAATACATATGGCAGCCAAGGGGGAAAAAATCATCATAGAATTTTTGGGTTTACTTTAAGTTATCTGATCACTTCTTCTAAATTACAACAGCATATAGGTAATCCTCGACTTACAACCATTCATTTAGTGACCATTCAAAGTTACAACAGTCCTGAAAAAAAATGACCTATGACCCTTTTTCACAGTTAAGATGGTTGCAGAATTCCCGTGGTCATGTGAATAAAATTTGGGCACTTGGCAACTGGCATATACCTCATTTTTAATGTGTGCCAGTGTGTTCACAGAAAAAGATGATAATAACAGTTGTCTTGTCTTGCCTTGCTTTGCCTTACGTCTTATCTATCCTATCCTATCCTATCCTATCCTATCCTATCCTATCCTATCCTATCCTATCCTATCCTATCCTATCCTATCCTACGCTACCCTACCCTACCCTACCCTACCCTACCCTACCCTACCCTACCCTAGCCATCTTATCTTATATCTATATTTATGAGAGTTGCTGGCATGGATGCACCTCTGGCCTCCTCTCAGGATGCAAATTCGGAGGAGGAAGAGGTTGGTCCTGGCACATCTGGGGAAGTGAGTACAGGGGGGCATCGAGACACAGACCAGAGAGTGGAGGGCTCCAGCTCAATGGAGCAACCACAGCAGAAACGACCAGTTGGGCACCAGGCAGAGAGACCCATAGCTGTAGCAGGTTAGCCTGGAGGCTTCAGAAGAAGAACAGGAGCAGCTGCCTTCAGTCAGCAAGTATGAGGGGATGGAGTCCATACCTCCCCACCCCCCGTCCAAGTATGTGCAGGGCGGAGAGGCAACAGGCACAACGACAATTGGCCAGGTTACTGGTGAGGAAGCAGCCTCGCTCACTGTGAATGGCCACCCCAGCGTTACCTAGTTAATTCCATGCAAAGAGATGGGCTTTGCTGGGCTTTGCCTGGTTTCCTTGATCCATATTTCTGCTTCCTGTGTGTTTGAATCTTGGACTTGCTCTTGGGACAGTGTATCATGCTTAGTGGACTGCTTCTGGCCAGGAACTCTTGTGCCGCCCAAGTCCTGCCAGGTTTGGTGACTGAACCTGCTTTTTGTTGGGTACCTGAGAACTGCAGGGGGTTTGAATAAAGACTTCTCACTCAATGTGGTGTGTGTGTGTGTGTGTGTGTGTGAATAGGGCAGCACACTGGCTCAGGTATCACCATTTGTAACCTTCACTCCTGGCTTCCAACAAGCAAAGTCAATGGAGGAAACCAGATTCACTTAGTGACTGCATGATTCATTTAACAGCTGCAGCGATTCCCTTAGCAACAATGGCAAAAAAAAAGTTTAGAAAATGAGGACCAACTCACTTAACAACTGCCTTGCTTAGCAATGGAAATGTTGGGCTTAATTGCGGTCGTAAGTCAAGGACTAAGCTGTAGTCAATTTGTGAAAAAATATGGGGGAGAACTCGTACGTGAGGTCTAATGCAACAATCAGGATAATTGAAACTGAATCTCAACCCAACAACTCTGGAGGAGGCAAACCTGAGGCTAATGGAACATGGTGAGTTAAATACTATAGACTGAACACACAATATGCATATACGCAAAAACACATTTCTTCATACCCTTCTGCCGAGAATCTGGTTGATGGCTGCGCTTTCTTTCAGAGTACATTCTGCTACAACATTCGCTCTCATCTCTTTCATGTATAACATGAAAGCGTTCAGAGGTTTCTTAATGTGAGGTCTTTTGGGCTCTTGTTCTTTCCTCTGTTCATGCTGAGGCTTCCTAAAGGTAACAGGAGGAAAGAGAACATACAGAAGAGTGCAATTGATACCGTGTTCATTTTTAAGGGATATTTATTTTATACTGCATTTCAGGTGATCAACAGATATCTCTTCATTTCTACTGGGCAATATTCGCTAGGTTATTTCAGAGTTCAGGCATAAAGAAAAAGAAAGAAGAAAGCAAAAAATAATTTCTCATTTCCATCTAGATCAGGGGTCTCCAACCATGGCAACTTTAAGCCTGGCGGACTTCAACTTCCAGAATTCCCCAGCCAGCAAAGCAAAGCAAAGCTGGCTGGCTGGGGAATTCTGGGCGTTGAAGTCTGATCTAGAAGTATTTTCCTCTGTTATTTGTTAAGAAGTCTTAGAGCTCCTTAACAGTGGCACACACAAATATTTCCAGATGTATTTGAATTTCTGTGGCTATATGATATGCACATTTATAGCAGTACATGGCTGTTAAGAGAAACTTGTGGATAAACTACCATATTTTTCAGAGTATAAGACGCACCTACCTTTTTTGATGAGGAAAACAAGAAAAAGAAATCTGCCTCTGCCTCCCAGCAATTTTGCCTTTTTGCAGCAAACAGCAAATAGCCTGCTTTACTTTCAGCATAGCTTGATTAGCACAAGAAAAAAAAAATCTGCTCCCAGCAATTTACCTCCTTGTAGCAAGCAGCAGAGGCCCACGCAAAACAGCTGAGAGCAAAACAGCTGAGAGTTGGGAGGCCAATCCAATCAACTTGTGCTAATTAGGATGTGCTGAAGTTGAAACGAGCTGTTTCTTCTTGTGCTTGCTGCAAGAGGTAAACTGCTGGGAGGCAGAGCCCAAAGGGTGGGGGCCAGTGGGTGGGTGGGGCTACATTCAGTGTATAAGATACACCTAAATTTTCACCCCCTTTTAGGGGAGGAAAGGTGCGTCTTATACTCCAAAAAATACGGTAATAATTAACAATGCAAGGATCAATAGTCAGAGGTGTTGGAGAGTAGAATTTTCTGTAATATGAGAATTAGAACAAAACACAATACTTTAAAGACAGAGGTGGGCTGCTGCCAGTTTGGACCAATTTGGGCAAACCGGTAGTTCCATCCAGGGGCTGGGCCCGCCCACCCAGGCGTATCCCGTCCTATAAAATCGTCGTGTGTTTGCTGTCGCGTGCATGTGCGGAAGGCGCGTGAACGAAGCAAGCTCTCTCACTCTCACATTTTCGCGTTCTGTGCGAACCAGTTGTTACAGTATGTGATGCCCACCTCTGTTTAAAAATAAATGAGACTGCTTCCATCCAACCTATTTAAATTGTATAAAATGTGTTTCTGAAATATCTGAAGAAGGAACAGTAATAAGCTACCTCCTTTAGAAAAATAATTTCCATCTTTTTCATAAAATAGAAAGGCTGAAAAACAAAGTTCAAGTCTTCAAAGGCTAACTCTGGGAATTATTGTCACTTAAAAGAGTGTTATCTCTATCTATGACCAAGTCAAAAGCAATCTAATTTTGGTCTTATTTGGTAGTTTTATGAATATGTCCCATATCTGTGTTAATCTACAACATTTAATTTTTATTTATACAGTGTATATATATATACATATACATATACATATACATATACATATATATATATATATATACACACACACACACACACACACACACACACACACACACACATACACACACACACACACATATACATACATACATACATATATACAATTTGTATTTAATTGTGCTTTTTAAATAAAATTCAATAAATAAATAAAATAAAATGCCTATTCTTCCTTGAAATATGATATGTTTAAACTATACTTCTTTGTTAGAACTGAGAATATAAAATCAGAAAGAGATTCTACAATCCAAAGCCCCCATCCGAAGGAAACATATTTGCAGTTATCCAAATATTTTTATTTCTCCATGTTAATACGAGATAGATAAATTTTGATAATCCATAATACATTTCACAATGCAGATCTAGGTTGGATCATATTAAAATTGGAACACCAGAAAGGCTTTCATTTAACTTGATACTACATGAGTTACCTCAGTGTAAACAGCTTCAATATTCAAGGTCAGGAGTAATTTTTCCCAAGGGACTACATGAAAAGTTGGGATGTTGTGAATGGCCAAATCAATAGGGCTGGGAAGGTGCCTCAGCACACATGCATGCATATATGCAGTGGTGGGATTCAAGTAATTTAACAACCAGTTCTCTGCCCTAATGATTTCTTCCAACAACCAGTTTGCCAAACTGCTCAGAAAGTTAACAACTGGTTTTCCTGAAGTGGTGTGAACTGGCTGAATCCCACCACTGCATATATGAATATATATATATATATATATATATATATATATATATATATTATATTTCATATATATATGAAAAAAAATGTAGCAGCCACCTTCAAAATAAAAGCAATGCAGCTGTATTGTGTACATGGAGTACACTTATTTAGTTTTGATTACTAATTTTTTGATTGACCTCACATGGGACAGACAGGGATAGCCAAAGGGCCATATATGGCCAAGGGCTGTAAAATGCCCAGGTCTCTTAAAGGTACAGAAAATACAAGGCTATATTCATAACTTAGGCACATATCCAACACTTTATTTTAAGGATCAGCAGGGGAAAAAGCCCTTCATCACAACTATTGCCATGTCCACTTGGTTCCCAGGGAATGCAGATTAAGGATTGTTAAAAGACTTGGAAAAGTCCAACTCACACGTGCATTAAGTCACTGTCTGTGTGTGGATGTTCTTGTTTGACTTGAGGTGTTACAATTGCAGGGTGAGGGATTCCAGTTGCGTGGGGTCCCGGAGGACCTGGGATCATATGATGTGAAAACCTACAAAGGATGAAAAAGGGCAAGTCTTTTTCATAATGGCAATTTTCTCTTAGCATTGAACAATTATATGAATCACAAGGAAAGCCTAGGAAGAAATATTTCGTATTAGGCTAGCAACAAAAATATTAAGATGCCTATATTTGACAGCTAAGATAGGGACAGAGTAAACAGGATTATTTTTGTCCTTTAATCCTGGAGAAATGTTGCAGTAGATATCTTGTATTATATGCAAAGAAATTCAATGCCTCCAACAATTCTAAAAACACATACAGTAGGAAACATAATGCTAATTTCATCCTAGCTCCATAAAAATATTTTCTCACATAAATATAACATTAAAGTTACCCACCACCAGCTAAAAAAAGGAGGAATGGTCATGCAGAAAGAAAATAAGGTTGAGAAAAAATTGCATTTCCTTGAGAAGCTATAACTTTCTAATTGTATAATCTAAATCCCAGGATCAATGTGTTCAATAATATTTATCTTGTCTCTATGATATGTGACTCATGCCTCAGGCACATGATACACTCACCACTCACCTCCTGATACTATTGTCCTTCAATATTGAACATTGTCCCTTTCCCATCTGGCTGCTTCTATAACTGATCTTTTAAGAGACTGCACATGTGCACTTCGGCCTTTTGGTATGTTATCGGGGGTGGGCTGCTGAGGGTTCGCAGGGGTTCGGGAGAACCTCTAGCTAAGATTCTGTGCAGTTCGGAGAACCCCCAAATCTCACTCCTGGCTGGCCCTTCCCACCCTGCCCCGCCCCTCCCAGGCTGACCCTGCCCACCCTGCCCCACCCCTCCCAGGAGTCCCCACGCGGCCCATTTTGGATGCAGGTAAGTGAAGGGTGCGCATGGAGGCTCGGGAAGGGCAAAAACGGGCCTACTGGAAGTTCAGGAAGGCTGGAAATGGGCCCATGTCTGGCCTCCAGAGGGTCTCTGGAGCCTGGGAAGGCCGTTTTCACCCTCCCAGAGGCTCAAAAAAAGACTCTGAAGCCCAGGGAGGGCAAAAAAAACCCCTCCCGCCATGGTACAGGAGGCCAACTAGGCCATGCCCACCACGGTCATGCCCATCCGACAACTGGGCAGGGAACCCCTTGCTAAAATTTTTGAAGCCCACTCCTGTATGTTATCTATTATTAGTGTATACAGGGTATATATTATAAATGTATGCAGGGACACAGCCTATCAGTGTTAAAGATAGAGAATGCACACACTTCTGAGTGCCATGAAGAGGTGGGAAGCTTTTGAGAGGAAGAAAAATTATCTCATTATTACTGGGACAGCAAAGCCTCATTTTCCAAAATAACTTGCTGTGTTATGTACCTATAATTATAGTTCTTTTGAGTAGCCATATGTGAATGCTCACACAAGAATTATACACTTGTGTTTACAGACTTGTTTGGTGACAATGCTACCCCTGGGTACACAAACATTGGCATGTTCCTACCAAGCCAGGTTTGGTGTAGTGGTTAATGTATTAGCCTAGAAACCAGGAGGAGAAACCCACCTCAGGGTTGTTGTTCTTGTGGAGAAAATAGAAGGAGGAAGGAGTATTAGATGTGCTCACCACCTTCTTTTATAAAATAAAGGTGGAATATAAATAAATAAAAAGCCACCACAACAGATCCAGTACTGAAAGTTCCTGAGACCAAAAAACAGGACAAGCTATGAGAATGCATAGATGGCATTCAAACAACTGCATTTACAGTTAATTGAGGAGCCGAGGTGGCGCAGTGGTTAGAGTGCAGTACTGCAGGCTACTTCAGCTGACTGCTAGCTACAGTTCAGCAGTACAAATCTCATGGGCTCAAGGTTGACTCAGCTTTCCATCCTTCCGAGGTGGGTAAAATGAGGACCCAGATTGTTGGGGGCAATATGCTGACTCTGTAAACCACTTAGACAGGGCTTTAAAAGCACTATGAAGCTGTATATATTGCTATTGCTATTGCTAATTCTTTATGAAACAAGGATATCTATCCACATGAGTGCATATACTGTATTAATGCATAGAGAAGGAAAGGGTCCAAGATGTAGTAGAGCTTTTATGAAACACTTCAGAGTATCAACTGGAAAATGTTTCAATAGCAAGAATGGGTAATAAAATTTAAGACATCACCACTGAAGAGAAACTTGAGTTGTTGCAGCTGGAACTGAGCTGACAAGAGAAGGTTTACTCCTCTCTTACTTCTTAGCGTTGGTGGAAGTGAGCAGGGCAAGCCTTTTAAAACCTTTAAACACTTTACGGACATTTTCTCCAATGCAAATATTAGCTAAGTGTCAAACCATAGAGAATCCGACTGATCTCTCAAAGAGATGAAGGCATCACCGAACATTACTGCCTGATAGGAGGCTTGGAGGAAGATGAGGAGCTTCAGAGTCTGCCATCCATAAAGCTTGCTCCCAGACAAGAGCAAATAGTGTGATGAGCCTGCTTAATAAATGCCGGGTGGTGTTTAGATAGGTCTACTGTGTAACTCTCACCAAGCAAATAAATCCATGTGAAGGGGAAACCTTAATTCCTACAATGCAGAGTTGTGAAACAGAGCCCTTAAGATCATAAAGTTGGCCAACTGCCTGTCACAAGACAATGTATGAAGCCTTAAATAACAGTTTTAAGGAGTTTTGAAGAAAAGTTGAGATACTTTTAAATAAAATTGGGAGGAGGAAAGAAATAACCATATTGGACAAGCACGTCCTGTCCAAATATGAAATTGCGGCTGTTGTAATGGTTGAAGACAAACTGGAAGAGTTTAGAGGGAGATGTTCCTAGTTACCCAGTATGGTGTGTGTGTGTGTGTGTGTGTGTGTGTGTGTGTGTGTGTGTGTCATCAAACAATTATATAAGCTCTAAAAGATCCCAATCTACACTCTGCAGAGGTTCATAATCCATGTATATACAATAAATTAGAGTGTTATTGTTTCCGACACGCACGTATGGAAATGTTGAACTGAGAGCTGCCACTCAATTAATTCTTACATTCACTCCTGTGCAGATTTGCATGGTTGCACCCAATCAAAGTAATGAGAAGAACATATAATGCCAGGAACTTGGAGCTGCAATGCTCTACGTAATGAAATGCAGGTTTTCTCTCTTCTCAGACATTTAAAGCACTACACACCGGTGTGTGCCTCTTAAAGCAAAATAGCTACTGCATACCACAAGGACTACTTGGGGCAGTTTTACACATTACACACTGAAAAGGATTTCCAGCATAGATCCTACCTCATGCTATCTCTTCACTTCTTTATTTAAAAAAGATATTCCAGTAAATATTAAATAGCTTTTCATGATTCCAGCAGAATTTTCTGTACTTCATTAGTGAAGCCATTCAAACTATTACCAGTTTAACAGCAGACCATTCTGCTAATGTTATAAAAAGCTGGGGAACATGTGTAAATTGAATAGATAAAATCAATAACGCCCCAATGTTTTAAAGATCATCATAATGGTGGTGGCAGTGGCAGTGACGGGCAACCAATTACTGTCTTTATTTAGCCAAGATTAGTTTCTCACATCGAATATTGGTCCAGATGTGCCAGACATCAACTTTAATATTGACAAAGACTGCATCCTGTGCATGTCAATATACTGCTAGTTGCCAGAATGTGGGCAAGAGTATGTTAGTTTGCAAAATAATCTCTGTTCAGAGATCCTAATCTGCACAGAATAAGATTATTAAACTTGGGGTAAAACTAGAAAAGATTCTGTAAAGAATGAAGCATTGTTAAAGGAGGACTGAATAAAAAAGGAATCAACAGCATGAAAGAAAGTACTTGATGAGGTTGATGAGATTTTTAGAAAGAGAATGATGAGAAATTTAAAGAACAATAGGATTATTTTGTGAAGAAGGTAGAAAGGTATGGAGCAGTACAGTGAATAATACTGGTGCAAACTAGTTTGAGCTATATTTTTTCTTTTTATATTATGCCTTTACTTTCTTTACCTTACTAGTTCTTACTTTTGTTTTTCTGCACTGTGCATAATATTGTCTAACCAATGGTTCTCAATCTGGGGGTGGGGGATGTGATGTCATCATAAGGATTCTGCAAAGACTTGAAGGAATGTTATAGTTTAAACCAGTGGTGAAATCCAAATTTTTTTACCCCTGTTCTGGGGGTGTGGCTTGGTGGGCATGGTGTGGCTTGGTGGGGGTGGCTTGGTGGGGGTGGCAGGGGAAGGATTCTGCAAAATCTCCATTCCCACCCCACTCCAAGGGAAGGATACTGCAAAATTCCCATTTCCTCCCCACTCCTGGGGGAGGATATTGCAAAATCCCCATTCCTACCCCACTCTGGGGCCAGACAGAGGTGAACTGCTCAAAATTTCCACTACCAGTTCTCCGAACTGCTCAAAATTTCCGCTACCGGTTCTCTAGAACCTGTCAGAATCTGCTGGATTTCACCCCTGGTTTAAACCTTGAGTTATGTCTTGGGGCTCCATGGCCATGATCCGTGTCCACAAAAGTTTTTAAAGGGTGATAGAAAAGGTTGAGAACCACTCTAACCCAAAAGAGAATATCAAGATGGGTATATTAGTACCAACTAGTGTTGAAAGCCAATATACCAGGAGAATACAACATTGGAGAACCCTGATTTAGCTAATAATATGTTAATCTGTTAATTACACTGAACTGTATTAACTGTTAAACATGAAAGTAGTGTCTTTGTATTAGTTTGATATTTATTTAGTCTTATCTAGTCTTTCTATACTTCATATGCAAAAACTAGTTGGCAACCTGACACGTTGCATTAATTCATATAAAAATTTGACAGAAAATAGTATAAGATGATAACTAGCATATTAGAAAAAGTTGTATTGAACGTGGCACAACTGTAAATGGGAGGAAATAAAAAGTGTGATTAAACTGAAAACAGTACATGTATTCCACACACCCAGCCAACAAATGTGTTAAATTGTTTTTATTTGTATGTTGCATTTTATTGATATGAGATACATAGAAAATTACAGCGACCTTTGGGTACACCAAGCACAGCATATAGATCCCATATTTTCATACCACAGAAAGATAAGAATGATACAAAATGATGCCACCACCAACACCTAGTTAGTGCTGCCTGCTTGCACTAAAGTTCTTTATTCGTACAGCAATATAACCATGTCTACACAGCTTCTTTTGCCTTAATTGTAAAATAGTTTGGAGCCTGGAAAAGTGTTTCCTATCTTGCATTCTACATTTAAATAGAATGCTTCAGAGAATGGAGAGAGAATACGAAGAAAACTGTCAAAAGTCACCGTTTTATTTTCAGTCATTATGTACAATGATTTCATTGCACTTGTGCTGACAATATTAATACTCTCTGACAAAACTAATACTCTCTTTGGCCTCAGTAAGATTGTTGTATCATAGATTTGATGTCTTTTAATCAGCCAATGATAATTGCAAGCTGTATATACACAGTATTCTATAGACATACACACAGACTTAAATGCAATTTAGCTAATGGGGCAGAGAGAGCAAGCAAAGGCAGCCACCAGGACAAAGCAGAATAGCCAATTCCCCTCCATGTCCAGCATTTGTTCCTGAGCCAGTCATTCCCCACCTACACCTACCTTGACATGGAAGTGTCGACTGAAAGTGAGGATGGGTAGGGATGCCTGAATCCACCTGAGATGGGATATACAGGCTGACCTTGCCTGAGGTCACAGAAGAAAGCAACCCATCAATTATAAAGTAACAGAAGTCAATCTGCCTTTTTCCAAACACCAATAAATAGATAACCAACTAATAACCCGAGTAGCTTATTCTTCACTTCGTAAGAACAAATAAACTAGGATTTATTCTTGCTATATTATGATTATTAAAACAGTAACAAACTGGGAATCCCAGTTTTCACAAAACATGAAAATACCTTCCTGTATTGTTTAGTCACTCCCATGGCAGAAGGAGGAGGAGCCAAACTGGAGCAATCAGGCAGAGGGAACCAATAGCTTTGCCTATTTCTGGTAAAGGGACATTCTTAAAAAATCCTGGGATATTTGGACTCTAACAAAAACATTAACTATATGTTATATTTTAAGCAACTGTGTCTTTTCCCACATTGTGAAGCATTGGAGAGTGTTGTTTGCATACAACAAACTGTCTGAAGCATCTTCTTGAAATTAGATTCAATGTGTGTACACAGCCCAAGTTCATACAGTTTGAATGCAAAACAAAAACCTTGAAAGGGAGTTTAAAATACAAAGAAACTTCTAATATAAACTTCTGTTCTTCTGAATAGATACATGAATAGCTCAATTTGAATGTTTCAAATATTTTGAATCTTTTATGTTTAGTTTACATTGGGTTTTTTTCCCATCGTGAATTAATGCAACTTCTGAATTAGAAGTTAACACACTTGTGTATCAACTTCGGAGAGAATAATTGAATTTTCCTTGAAAGAGTACACTCAATTCTATTCAAGCAGAGCTATTGATTGACAGATTTAAGAAACTGGCATTTTAAAGCTGCTGGCCCTTTCTTATTCTCACCATGGCACTCTTCACACTTAAGTTAACTTCTGTGCATACACGGTAGGTTAGACCATTGCATATGTACACAATTATGCACACACAATTCAAATATCAATCACACAGTACAGCAATAAGCAGAAACGTAAGAGAATTAAGTGCTGTATACTATACTATACTATACTATACTATACTATACTATACTATACTATACTATACTATATTACCAGTATTTTTAATTCAGATTCATCTTTGAAAAAAACGTACGTACAAAGAAGCAAACAATTGTTAAAATTTAAAAGTTGGAACCGAATCTATTCCCACACTCCAAAAAATCTTTCCTTAGTGTAAAAATAGCCACAATAATATAAAAAAACTTGGCCACCAAACTCTTGGCTCTCCTAATTTTCTTCCAATCAAAAAGGTTTATTCAAATAGTTTTAGTATTTTTTGATATGAAATAATACATCATGTAGCAAATGGAGTTTTTCTATCTAATGTACCAGCTTTGTCAAAATGACAAATTCTCAAAAGAGTTATAGAGATAGCTCATTAGCATCCTTAATATTATCTTAAAATTACAAAAATTTAGATCACTACAATTCTTTCCCCCCCCCCCCCATTTGTTTATGTCAGATACACTCTTGCTAAGCAATACTGCATCTGATTGACTCCTTGGAAGAAATTTCATGAAAGGTAAATTCAATTCACTCAATTGCCATTTTTTCAACTTAGATTAAACAAAGAACACATTTACTAAATTGAATCAAATTGGGCATTCCTCCTTCATAAAGGAGAGTTTGCCTTGAAGCATTTTACAAATTTGAAACATTTGTTACACTGAGGATAAATTAGTGCAAAATGAACATATAAATTGTGGTTATTTAGTGGTAATGTGGCACTCTGCATGTATTCAGTGGCACTTGTGTATTTCACAAGTCCAAATAAGCGATCTTACCTAACACATATTATTGGGCTCCCAACTATTCAAGTCATAGAGTCTGTGAATTGTGCACTGGATTTCATTTAGGAACATCATACTATTTCTTGAGTCCAATTTACTCTCAATAGGTTGCTCTGCAAAGCCAACTACTTTCCATACTTTTTATAAATAATTGTGTTTTGTTATTTAATAATGGAAACCTTACAATTGTTTTAAAACAAGTCATTTCTCAAGTCAATAAACATGCATTGGATGTTCATAACACAAAATACATGAGTGCAACTCAGAAGTAGCAGGAAGCTCTTACCAGCCTAGTGGTGGGGTTATTTGCCCAACACTTCCAGGAGATAAGGGATAGAAGGTGGAAATATCAGGACCTGGAGGATGCCGATTCATGCCTGTTAAAAAGTACAGAATGTAAATCATCATTTTAGCCTAAAAAGTATAAAAATAACCTGTAAGCCGCCCAAAGTCCCTTTGTAGGAGAGATAGGTGGCATTAAAAAAAATAATAATAATAATCCATGATAAAACAGGAAATGGAGCCATTTAATCTAAAAACCTATGAAAAGAAAGATTGAGTTTGCAGTATAAGTAGATCTTTTTCCCCCAATAGTGCATGACATAGACTACTTTTGTCTACTCTAGCCTTATATATTCCAGATTGTTACTCCCCAACTAGTGTCATAGCCAAAATTAAAACTGGAGAATTTCATCCAAACTAGAGGATATATAATATAATCGCAAATCTTTTTTGAATACAGACCCTTTAGAACAGATAAATCAACGGTACTCAATTAACTTTGTACTGATCTCAAGTAGCTTATATTCATCTCAGGTAACTTACTTAGGCTGGCTCCAACTCTTATGTCTTCAGGAACATTGAAGGATTGAACACCAAAATTGCATCTTTTATGAGAACAGATTAAAAGCCAGCACTTCATCCAGTGAAACAATCAGTTTCCTAGATACTATCATTTGGAATTAAATTAAATGAATGAAACTAGATACTATATTAGCCATTTCTATAATCATGTGACAAATGTGGTTAGCTTTCCTAAATAAGGATTGCAGTTCCTCAACCTGATATGATTTAATCATCAAAAAGTTAACTGGCACCTTAGTATCTATCAATTTTTTTGTGACATAAGTTTTCATAAACCAAATACATAGTCACCTCAGTAGGTAAATGTGTATGCATATACCCTAGGTACAAAGAGAAGGAGGTGTCCAAAGCAAAGCCAAAAGGTCAAGCACTGCACAAGAAAGTAGATGCACCACAATATTATGCAGAACACAAATCAGAATGAGTGTGACTCATTTGTGACTAGTGGGCTCACTAGTAGATTACAAATAGGCATAGCACATGAACACTATAAAATCACGTGAGAGGGCAATAGCTTCATCGGGATACCAAATTAAGCAGCTTCCAATTTCATTTACCTTCCTGAATTAGGAAAACCCTAGTTTTGTTTATTATAGAAGAGCATAATGGACAGATGAATGGATTCTCAGTATTATGGCTGATGTTGTTATTGAGGTAGGATGGAACAGAAGCGGCATCACAATTTAACTTACTTTCGGTAGCCCATTAGTGTTGTACTCTGTTTTAGACTTGGCTACAGATTCTAAGAAAGGACAAGCATTCATTTAAGGTTGTGAGGATCAATGGCCATCTTCCGGGATGCACAAAATAGTGTCACCCAAGGGCTATCAATGGCAGCAAGCGATATGCTATTATCCTGTATGAATGGTCCTATAGAAGATATACCCTCGGCACTTGGTGAGACCCTGCCAATGTATTTTTTACCTTTACCTTCTCAAATTTGAGTTTTAAGAATTTCTGATGCAATTCCTGGAGAAAGATATTTATGACCAAAAGAATGGAGAAAAGACAGTTATATTGTAGGATCTGGCTGCAGACAACAGCAGACTTCTCAGTATGCTGTGGTAGAGACACATCGCTTTAAGATGATGTTACTACATCATGCTTTTTTCCGCTGTGGTGCCTGGAAAGTGGAGTTGCTTTAAGGGCAACTCTATTGAGGGAGTTCAGGTGAAGATGCTATCAATCTATCTTGAAAAGAGGAACAGCACTTGGAAGTAGGAACTAAAATGCTTACTAAACCATTAAATATGGCAGTCATTTTATTACTTCTTTCAAGGGTTCGTGGGAAAACTTTTGCAGCATTTTTACTGCACTCAGCTTTAAAATCTAACCTTAATGAACTGATTGAGAGGTGAGTGCGCAATGTTATGCAGTAACTTTTTTTTACAGATTCTTCTATTCTGTTGAAAAATACATAAGCAAAATATAAATGGATTCTGTTGCCTGGAAATAAGTTGCCTGATGCAATCTTGCAGAAAAGTAGGTCTTCATGTAAGACTCCAGTTTTTTTTTTTTTAAATATGCCTTTTCTTCATAAGTTTGTGTAAAATTGGGTTGCATTGAGTAATCAGTTGCGCTCTGCATGGCATTGTGATTACACCGCCCACCCCCTCTTTCATTGCTTGACCACTGGGCCTCTCCCCCTACTCTTCTCCCTGTAGATATCAATTTCCTTCTCTCTGTACTAGGATATATATACCTACCCATTAGGTGACTGCTTCATGTATCTGATGAAGTAGGGTCTGGCCCAGAAAAGCTTATGCTACAAGACTCGTAGTTTTTACATTTCTTGATTGATTTTCTCTCTGATTTAAAAAGAAAAAAAAAGGAAGAAGTTATATGATACACAAGTGATAAAGTAGTAGAGTTTGTGTGACTGTAATAGATTTAAGTCTTGAAAAATCATATTGAACAGCTAAATATATAAGAAGAGGCTGGGGGGGGATGAATGAAAGCAGCAGTTTCAAAAAGACTTATTCGATTTTGTAAATTGCTGCTTATACATTTTATATGGTTCCCTTGAGATGTACAGCTTTTATGAACTTGCTACCTCTGAGGATCAGTGGTTAATTAAAAATCATTTTCAGGCCTGCAATGGTCATACTTGATATGATTCATTTACCTTCTGAGTCTCACTTCAGCTCTAGCTAAGCTCCTCATCATATCGACTCTTGGGTGCCAAGGTCACTCTTGTAGTAGTTAATATTTTTGGAATAGACTAAGGAAGTCTCACTGGGAATGATCCATCAATTCAGACTCTCAAAAATGTTAAAAAGAATATATATTCTACAAATTCTAAAAATCACCTTAAGGATTAAAAGTAATCCGAATCCCAAATGAGCCTTATGGTCTTCACACTCTATCTAAATCTCATATTCCAAGGAGATATGATGCTCACAAAGACCATAAAGGTATTGATGGATTTAGTGCATTAAGGAATAAACAAAACAAGTATTTTATTTTATATCTAAATCCTCCATTCTAAATAATAAGAGGGACAAGTGATCAGATCGTTTAGAAAAGGGCGGTCAAACTCCTGGCCCATGGGCTGGATGCATCACGCACTGGCCATGCCCATGCCTGGTTTAGCGAAGGAGGGAAAAGTCCCAATACGTCACATGATGCTGCCGTGACGATGTGAGTTTGACATCCCTGGTTTAGAAGAACCAACTACAATATAAAATTCAATTAAGAAAGTGCAATTAATGAGAACTCCATTCTTCTTGCAGCTGCCTTATACTATATAAACATCCGGCCATCCATTCATCTATACAGGAAATGTTCAAAACTACTTGTCTGCATTTACTAGCTAAGCTCATACTCACACCTATATAAAGTAGCAAGGAGCAATAACTTCATCATGTTAACGGTGAATCTTATTTTGCTACATTTATAAATTTCCTTCCCCTTTTACTAAATCTCCTACAAACAACATATACTATTATTTTCCTTGGAATCTCAGTAGGTAAAGTTACTTTAAAGAAATGTGTGAGCTAAAAATTCTTAATTCTTAATAAAAAAAAAAGACTATAATGGTACTGATGGTTCATAGGGTAATGTTTAAGAGAAGATTTTAAAATTTTCTTTTACAGCAAGGCATATGGGCAGAATAATATATATTAAGCACAGATACTATTGAAGCCACATAGACAAATTATCTGTTCCGTAGTACTTTTCTACTGCACCTACCAAGAATCACTCTAGGCATCTCCAGGCAATAGAGCTAAATAAAAGCACTCCTTCATGTGCCAGGAAATAACATAAAGATCATAACTGCTTGGAGGATTGTATGCATGCATATGCTTTAGTTTCACATTATCAGCCAAGATAAGACACCATGGTGACACTATTCCTATCTACTTTGAGCTTTCAGCACAAAATTAGTTTAAGTTACCAAGAGGTAATAGCTAAAACAATCTCAGATTTTTAAGAAAGAGAGCCAGAAAATTGTAGAGCTTTGGATATGTGAATAACTTGAAATAATACTGTATGTCTATTTCAGTTCTTCTACTTTGCTTCATCATCCTGAGAAGTGAAACACCTGTCACTATTTTTATGCATATTAGATGAGGGCTAGTTTTATGCATTGCACTAAACCACAACATAGTTTGCTTTGTTTTGGCTTAGCATAGTGTCCTTGAACTGACATGACCACGGGGAGTTGCAAGTAACTTTGAGAGGGGTCACAATCACCGTTCAAAGTCACTCTGGGCATAATAGTTGAGCTCAGATCTGTAAATTCTATTACGCTTATGAATTGGTTTTCCACCTTGTTCCTTTTCTTAACAAAGATAGAAGAGTTCTATGAACAATATTTTATTCTTCAGCTAATAGAACACCTTTTGAAATGCCTGATAAAATCCATCATTATATTAAAATCGTTGATGGAATATTCTTAATTTGCTTTGATCAAAGTACTGTGTTTTATGGATTTTAATGCAGTCAAAATGGACAAAACCCTCATTTCCCAAAAATGTCTTTTCTTGGGATCAGTGCACAAAATGAGAGCAACAAATAAATGAGAAGAGACTAAAGTGAGAAAGCTATGACCATAAATATTCCATTTGCAACATGCTATTTATGCAAGTTAGGGTTTTCTTCAGTTGTTGCTATAAAGAGCATGAAGTATAAATGAAAAGTATATGAGAGAAGAAGAAAAAAGAATGATTGTCTTGAAAATAATTTCCATTTTTTTCAGAAAATATGCAAAAATAAGATCATTTTTTTTTCATTTAAAAATATGTGATGGTTCAATCTTATGTCTTCATTTCTAATAAATTTTAATTTTTAAAGTTGCAGGAATCTATTATTGTTTTACCTGACACACAGATTAAAATTTAATTATTAAAAATAAGGAGTATTTATTTCTTGCCTAAGCCAGCCACCAGAATCATTAAATTTTTTTCCAGGGGAAAACACATATATTCGTTTTTTCATTTAAGACGGTAATGGTAAACCTTGAGAATTCTTGGTTGAGCATGTTTTCTGACCTCAATCATTTTGATTTTACAAAATATAGTTTCTTGATTAAAGGATAAACCAATAACGATGGCTCTAATTATATATGAATAGTCTCTTCTAGTAATCTAAGGAAACTGAAGGACTAGATTGTGGCGACTAAACTTTTTCTTTCTTCTAGGATCACATCCCTTCTCCTTTCTCCCATTAGCATCATCTTCTCCTTGATCATAGAAGGAACTCTGGCCACAAATGCCCGTGCTGTAATTAGAGGGTTTGCAGAACAGAGGACTCCCCAACCACAAGCACCATCAGTGGAATCAACGGGAAGTGGTTTGCAAGCAGCTTTAGCATTTGGTAGTGCAATTAAGAAACCCTTCCACTCCCACAATAGAGAAATCAGTGTAAACCACTAAGGCAGGGGTCTCCAATCTTGGCAACTTTAAGATTTGTGGACTTCAACTCCCATAGTTCCTCATCCAGAAAAGCTGGCTGAGGAATTCTGGGAGTTAAAGTTCACAAGTCTTAAAGTTGCCAAGGTTGGAGACCCCTGCACTAAGGACTTCCTCCATCACCAACTGAGCAAGCTGCTCCAGTGAAGGCCAGCTGCTGCAGAAGAACCATTTGTGACTAGGCTTACTCAGCAAGTTCCACCATGACTGAGGCCCATTATATAGACACCTAAACCTAATCCCTAAAAAGTGTAATTATCTGTACACAAAGGTCATCTGACATTTTATGTATGCATAAAATATTTTTTTTAAAAAAACCAGGCCCAAACCATGCCTACATAAAAAAAACCTTTACAAATATAGGTAAAGGTCCCCCCACACATGTGTCCTAGTCATTTTCCGGCTCAAGGGATGGTGCTCATCTCCATTTCAAAGCCGAAGAGCCAGCTCTGTCCGAAGACATCTCCGTGGTCATGTGGCTGGCATGACTAAACACTGAAGGCACACGGAGCGCTGTTACCTTCCCACCAAAGGTGGTCCCTATTTTTCTACTTGCATTTTTTACGTGCTTTCGAACTGCTAGGTTGGCAGAAGCTGGGACAAGTAACAGGAGCTCATTCCATTATGCGGCACTAGGGATTCAAACTGCCAAACTGCTGACCTTTTGATCGACAAGCTCAGCATCTTAGCCACGGAGCCACTGCATTTCTACTTGCAAATATACTGGTTCCCATACTCAATAGATAAAGCCTACCTATAGTGGATTATTCTGAAAAAAGTTATTTAATTATTTAAATGTATTCAAGAGTTATTAATAAAAGTTCTATTTAACATATTACTCAAAAGTTTTTCATTTTTTAAATTCTAGAACCCCTGATCAAGAAGGAAACGTCTACTAAGATAAAAATTGCTGCATTCGCGTGCTTATGGAATATAGAGATCAGAGTTTGAAAAACCAATCTATAAATTTCAAAAAATTATCCCAAATTGTACATATTCAAGCTTCAAAAAGAATCAGAAAGATATATCTAAAGATATATGAAAGATAAAGATGATACTATTTAAAATAAATAAAGTCAATATTTCCAGTTATATAACTTACTACAATCAACATATGAAAAAAACAATGGCGACAATTTGCCTTAATGATCTCAAAGTGGAAACCAACACAGAATGAGGTGTATGACAAGCAATACAATATCATCTATCTTTTTCTCAACCTGCCTTGAAGAAGTATTTCGCAAATTAAACTAGGCAAAAGATGGAATAAAAATCAATGGTGCCTATTGAAATCACTTAAGATTTGAGGAAGATGTTGTTATATCTGGAGAAGAACTAGATGTAGTAGACCATTACATATACCTTGGCCAACAGATCTCAATGGAAGGTGATACAATAAAGGAAACTGAACAGCATACTAAATGTGGTTGGCAAGCTAAGCATAATTTTCAAGAACAACCTCCCCCTATGACTGAAGAGAAAAGTTTTCGATCAGTGTGTGTGCTACCTGTTGTAACATATGCCATTGAAATGTGGACACTAACCTCACAACTGATACAAAAGCTACGAGTGGCGCAAAGAGCCATGGAAAGACCTGCACTGGATTAAAGAACAAACAAAAGTGTACAGTATCATCAAGAGAGTAAAATAATGGAAATGGAAATGGACTGGTCACATAGCAAGAAGAACCGATGGCAGGTGGACCAAAGTAGTCACAGAATGGATCCCACTTGATAAAAAGCATCCATGAAAGACACCTAAAACAAGGTGGATCAATGACATCAGCAAGTATTGCGGGCCCAACAAAGATAGCTCAGGATTGTATTGGCTGAAAACATACAGAAGAGGCCTTTATCCTGCAGTGCATAAACAGTGGCTAAAATGATTATAAAACTGAACACTAGTTTATACACACTTACAGTTATAAAACCATCACATGTTTTATATAACTAAGAATATTTACTTTAAACGGTATCATCTTTCTCTTTCAGTTTCCAGAGAGGTAGTAAATATTACACAAAAAATACAGACTTGTTATTTTAAAGTCTAAATTATTAGGGCATCAATTTCTCTTGATCAAGGTATGTCTCTTCAAATATATGAAGTATTAACATTTATGGTTTGTTCATGGATGGAATAAATTAGAAGGAAGTGACATGTAGGAGTTAAATACAAAGATAAGAACATAGGATGCCCATTCAAAAATAATTGGCAAATTAGTCTTGCAATTATGGCCTGATTAAGATATATAGAAAAACTTGAGGCATTGTTTTTAGATTATGATACACTGGAAGGTTCTACTTTATTTTATCATCATCTTCATTTAATGACCTCATAATCCCTTGTGGAGTGGAGTCTGGGTAACTGAATGGAGCTGAGTATTTACTGGCCGGATGCCCTTCCTGTTGCCAATGTAGAGTTTTGTTCAGCAGATACATTCTCACCATGCCCAGAGAGAGAAATACCTGCCTCTACCTAGGATCGAACTCACAGCCTCCTGATTGTGAGACGAGAGCTCCACCTCTAGGCCACCGCACCACTTGTTCTACTTTATTTTATAAACATTATAAAATCTACAAAGATGCAGCACAATGATTAGCTGACCTTTAACAGAGAAACTAGCTTTTACACCTGGATTGAGGTTTGCAAAACAAGAGAAGTAAGATAAACAAATCATTATTGATCACTGCATGGTCTCTCGTTTTAGCCAACAGTGTTTCATAATAGCGTTTCACAAAAATGACTAAAAACACCCATTAAGTTTTTGGCCATCAATAGGCAGTTGGCATATTCTGCTACCCACAGAGATGTGAAGTTGATATAAATACAATTTTGGATATGATTCAAATGGCTACTTACTGATGTAAATATATTAGAAAATAGAAATTAGGCAATTTTTTCCAAAAGTGTATGGTCAAGTTAATCTTACAAAAGTGCCTGAGAATGAATGAAAACTATCTAATCAAGTACAGGTAGTCCTCATTTAGCAACTGCCTCATTTAGGGTCCATTTGAAGTTACAACAATGATAAAAAAATAACTTTGTGACCAATCCTTGCCTTATAATCTTTGTGTCTTTAAAGCAAAAAAAAAAAAAAAAAAAAAAGCTGAGGTATGATCCTAAGCACAGTCAGAGTTTCATTTTGCAACCTCTTTGGTTAATGACCAAGTTTTAAAAAAAGGTAAAGGAGTAAAGGATTTTACTGTGCTGGTTATTGCCGATGAGAGGGGGCAATGCTCATCTCCATTTCAAGGCCATTGAGTCAGCGTTGTCCAAAGACAATTCTGCAGTCATGTGGCCAGCATGATGTCCCAAAGCACTGTTACCTTCCCACCAAAGTGGTACCTATTTATCTACTCACATTTGCATGCTTTCAAACTGCTAGGTTGGCAGAAGCTGAGGCGAGGACGGGAACTCACCCCATCATGCGGTGCTCAGGTCTTGAACCTGGGCTGCCAGCTTGCCAACCAACAAGCCCAGTGTCTCAACTGCTGAGCTACTCCAACGACCAAGTTACTACTTCCAATAGTTGAATGAGGAACACATGTTCTGTAAATGTAACATTACATCAGAGGGAAGCAATTTGGATTCCTTTAAAGAAAGCTTATTTTAATCGTTAAGATATATGGCTAGTAACAAAATGCAACAATGGCATTGTATTTTCCTTTAATGGGACCCAAATTTTCAAAAACAGCAACTCAGAGATATTTTAGAATTACTGGGCTCTACTTCAAATACAACAGGACTGAGGTAATCAGGAAAAAGGGAAAACCTACTGTATGTACCTGGATCCACCAGTACTATAAGATAGCATGAAAATCCCTTAAACTCCACTGAAGATGTTACCTACCCTGTTAATGAAATGTTTGGAAACCAACCCACAAGCTTGGAGAACGAACCTTCACCCTCATAGTATGAAAATATCCTTTTCAGCATCTGAGGCTCTCAAAAGAAAACATGAGAGAGATTTTCTTCTAACAGCTTTTCAAAGGCTATAAAAATGGAAGGATTAGCTCACCTTGCTTTGTGTTGACGTCTGAGGGGAGGTGTGAAGGATGTGTCCCTGGAGAAAAATGTTCATCGCTGTAGGTGATGAGTGGAGTGAGAGGGTGGACTGCATGGGAAGGTTGCACCACAGGGACTTTGTTGGACTGCAAACAAAAACAAAAGGCTTGAGTAGCATTTCTTTCTTTTGCTTGTTTTTTCTTAAACTAATAGGCCTGATAAAAATATTCCATATTTAATTGCCTCATTTTTTTTATCTGAACAATAAGACATACTGGGGACAATTTAATTCTGTTTCACAAACATCAGTACAGGTAGTCCTCAACCTATGACCACAACTGAGACCAACGTGTTGCTAAGTGAGAAATTTGTTAAGTGAGCTTTGTCCATTTTTATGATTTTTTTTTTGCCAGAGTTGTTAAGTGAATCACTGCAATTGTTAAATTAGTAACACGGTTGTCAAATAAATCTGTTTTTCCCATTGACTTTGCTTGTCAGAAGGTCACAAATGTGATCCCACGACCCTGGGACATTGCAACTGTCATAAATGTGAGTCAGCTGTCAAGCATCTGAATGCAAATCACATGACCATGGGATGCTGCAACGGTCATAACTATGAAAAATGGCCATAAGTCATTTTTTCAGTGCCGTTGTAACTTCAAACGGTCACTAAGCAAATTATTGTAAATCGAGAACTACCTGTACTCAGACATACCAACTCTCACAGTAAATGGAAATTTAAATAATGGTTTGATGAATAAGCCACAAAAACTTTACCCAGGCTATCAAGCTATTATCATGAATAATACAATGACTGGGTATATAAAACATGTGAAACTAAAATCAAACAAAGTTAGGTCCAGGACAATGGGTGAACTCAACCACAGGTTGCAGATTATGCCTGTCTAATACAAAACAATAGCCATTGATCAAATACTAGGCCTCCCCACCATCTGCATAACAAATAGTCAAGGATTAGCAGACACATCACTTCGTTGCTCATTTCAGACAGCAGAAATCAGGTAGAAGAATATAAAAACTTGGCTAGCCATAATGCATTGTAGAGCTAACATGGCGTAATAATTTTAAAAGGTTAGAAACTACCCATAAAAAGTAGTTTCATCATGGCACCTGCTACAAACCTTTATCATTATAGTACATACAACCACAAAATGCTAATTTACCAGAAGTCTGAGGATATTTTGTAACTTCATCTAATCCTACCTTGATGAGTTGTACTGGGCAGACAGGGATATTTCTAAACAAAATATTAAGAGTCAACCCATCCGCTTTTCTCATTCATACAAGGGATTAAAGACATTCTTGAAAACAAAGATAATACTGTACCAAAGACTTTCCTTCACAGCACACCAAGTTAATTTTTTAATTATTATTTTAAACAAAAGGTTTTAAAACATTAAGATCTTAAAGCAGGGGTGTCAAACTCAATTTCATTGAGGGCTGCATCAGGGTTGTGTTTGACCTCGGGGGAGGGGGGGCAAGTGGCCATGGCCAGGGTGGGCATGGCCAGCTTGACATCCTGTAGCCATCTGCATGCAGCCCTCACTGCCTCTGTTTTTGCTGGCAGAAGGCTGCAGGAGGCCATCGTAGCTGAAAATGGAGCCTGAGAGGGCCATGCGTGACCCTCATGAACTCCATTTTCTCTGTCAGAGGCACTGCAGGCCGGTCCTTCACTGTTTCCAGAGCAACCCTGCAGGCCAGATTTAAGCCCCTTGTGGGCCAGATTCAGCCCATGGGCCTTGAGTTTGACACCCCTGTCTTAAATGCTCCTGTTTTAGACATTCCTGTCTAGCCTAAATACGTCCAAACACAGATCATTTGTGAGCATGTAAGTATAGTACTCCAGTCTAGTATTACCAATGCTGAATCACAGAAGTCTGATGCTAAGATCAAACAACTTATTTGGCCTCATATTTAATAAAAGAAATGTGCTAAAAAGAACTGTGGATCATAGCTAAAAAGATCTGTGGGTCATAGCTAGGTAGAGACATTTTCAAATAGAGCTTGATTCTTAGTAACTACTACTACAAGCAGTATTCTTAGCAGTTTTAATGGTAAAAAAACCCCTTTTGCATTTCCCCCCCCAATTCTTTCCAACTTCTAGTCTGCAGCCCTAGGGCTTACATCCAAATACAAACCTGATCTGACCCTACTTAGCTTTTGGCAATTGGGGTGTTATCAACTGCATAGTGTTTTCTGTCTTCCTTAAAAGAGAAGCAATGCTCTTGCTACAAAATGGAATTCAATAGTCAGGTAAAGGAAGCCTTCTCTGCAGCATGGAAAGAAATCAAGCTATTCTGTTGATGGGTGCAACAATCCCCTCAAGCTGAAAAGTATTAGAGTTACCACAGTAATCCCCCCTTTTTTTTCATACATACATCTATGCAAAACATGAAAAATGTCTGAGACTCATTTGCATTATTAAATCATGTTCTTTGGTTCATTCTCCCTTTTCTGCACTCAAGAAAAATCTCAGTATAATTTGAAAACACTGTGTAAAAACCCTTTCAGCATTCTTTGAAATAATCACAAATATACATTCATGTCAGATAGGCTTCTGGGAAGAGAAGAGAAGACTCATTCCAAAATGCAGATATTGTTCATTAAACCTCCACTCATAAAATAGTGGAAACTAAAAATAGATTTTTTTTCCATTGACATTATTTAAATCATACATTATTTATGATTATATTTATGACAGACCATATTTCAAACACAGTACCAGAGTCTGTGTTTTATTGTCACTACACAATTGCCACATTTTTTTTAATCTGCTACTTTTTCTTTGCATACTTTCCCTTGTTTCCAGAGCACTACCTTAAGGAACTTGCATTAGCAAGTAGTATCATTTTAATGTCTGACCTATCCCTCCAGTCATATAGCTCAGAATCTTCTGCATGGATTTTTGCTAAATTATGCTATCCTTCCTCTCCTCTTAATTTTACGGTTTTCAACACAGATTTGCTTTCCTGTGGGAAGGAGATAAGAACCTGAGGATTTTAATTTAAGCTTTGGCCTTGTCTTATATTTTGCAAGAGAGAGAGAGAGTGTGTGCACACGCGTGCATGCACAAGCAGGAGAGAGAAAAAGCGATGCCACTCATAAGTGGTTGAAAGCCATTAAGCATTCGGTCCATTATTTGTCACGAAATAATAAAGCAGAATGAATTTCCATTAAGATATATGAGTTAGCATTCACGAGATATTTGAAGCAGCAATGCATCTTCCCATTTTTAAAGAAAACACATATTGATAAACATTGAATAACTCTTTCCAGATTATCTATACCTGTAAGAATCAATTGATTTTTTTTAAAACAAATACTGTATTTTTCGGAGTATAAGATACACTTTCCCCCCTCGCCCTAAAAATGGGTGAAATTTTCGGTGGGTCTTATAGACCGAATATGGGCCCATTTTTGGCCTCCCAAACCCTCTGTGTGTCACCTTTTCACCTTCCCCGGCCCCCAGAAGCACTCTGCAGTGCTCCACACGTCCTGTTTTTGCCAAAAACAGCCCAGCTTTTGCCAAAAACGGGTACGTTTTTGGCCTTCTAAACCATCCACGCATCCCATTTTTGCCCTCCCTGGCCCTCAGCACTGTGCAGGCCAAAAATGGGTGTGTTTTTGGTAAAAACAGGATACGCGGAGGGTTTGGGAGGCCAAAAACGAGCCTGTTTTTGGCCTGAAAGGTGCTTCTGGGGGCCGGGGAGGGCGAAAACGGGACACACGGAGGCCAAAAACTTTTTTTTTGTTTTCTTCTCTAAATCTAGGTGTATCTTATAGTACGAAAAATACGGGTATATCTGAGATTATGCAAGATGCATTGAAGGTAGAAGTTTACAGCAACACATCACCCTCCGAACATGTGAGAAGCCAACTGTACCAATTGTGCTTAATGCAATTCCTCCTAACACAAATTTCCAATCTAAACAATATCTTTATAATGCCATTGTGTTTCTTCCTTTGACACAAGGCACTCTTTTACCTTCTTCCTTTTTATAAATAAAATGTTCCATTTACTTACTTTGCTGTAGTTCATGAAATGCTAAAATATATAATGAGAAGAGTATTTCTACAACTGTCATACCCCCTCCGCCCCTCTGTGTTATAGTCAACAAAACAAATTAAGGACAATTCCACACAAGTCTCATAAATTGCTCATCTCTCATGTTGCTTCCAGCGACTCCTTTAAAAATTCTATTGTGGATTCTAATGGTTTGGCATTGTGGCTGCTTCGTGTTCAGGAAGACAAGTCTTGATACCTGACCCACTTTAGGTAGATCCACTCTTCCTTTAAACAAAAGGTAGATCGTCCATACAATGATGGGACAAACTGAAAGTAGAAATTTGACCTAAAGCTCCACATATTTGTCAGGAAAGTGTGTTTATGGCTTTGCCCAGGCCTTTGGTCAGGGTGACCGAAGCTTCCTTTTAACTTGCTTTTCTTTTCTTTTCGTTTTGTTATACTGCAACCTTTACTCTTTTTGTTTCTTGTCATTTTCAATATCTTTGTTATAATGTTTGAAATAATTTGTAAAACACCCAGAGTCTCTGACAGTCAGGAGGCATAGACGTTTAAATAATAATGATGAGGATTTTTAAAAATCAGGAATTGAAATCCAGTCATTGACAAAAACCATAAGAATTCTTAGCACAGGTATAGCAATGGAATTTGGCTTAGATGAATATGCTATAGTAGCAATAAATTGGGGTAAAATCACACATGGAATAGAAATGCCAAATGGTCAAACCTTCCAGAGCCATCAGGAGGAAAATAGAAATGGTAGAAGGTTCCAAAAGATCTCTGAATTCAAAAGGCTTAGCCTCAAATTGATATGATTTTAACGATCAGAGAGTAACCAATCAAAAATCAGGCTAAGATGGAAAAAGTATTGAATAGTAGAGATGTCAACTCAAGATATCTTAGAACACGGGTGTCAAACTCGCGACATCACGTTGCCATCACGTGACGTATCCCGATGTTTTTCCCCTTCACGGAGCTGGAGTGGGCATGGCCTGTGTGTGACGCATCCAGCCCGGGGCCGCCAGTTTGGCACCCCTGCCTTAGAAGATATTTTCCAATTGGAAGCGCTTCTAGTGTCAGAAGATGAAGCTGGATAATTTC